CTATTAGCCGTTATATTCATATTTACGATCAATACTAGCAACTTAAGATAAGCAAGAACCAAAATAATAGGTTTAAACCTCACCCGAGGATTTTCGTAATTCTGCTACCAGCCATAGTGACTTTGGAGTCAAAAGGAAATGAATCCAAGCTGCGAAGAGGTTTTTCGATAAGATTATTCATACTGAATTCTGCTCTCACCATCTTCAAAGAAAAGTTAGAGGGTAATTTGTCAGAATCATCGTCCGAGTCTGGCCGCTCCGAGAAGAGTAGCAATGAAACCATAAGGCGGATAGATTCATGGAAAAGGCGAGCAGCAACGTTGAGTGGCATTAAGACGGGTAAATGTGTAAGAAGACTTAGCAAGAGCTCTTTCTCAGTTTCAAAGGTAGTTGAAAATGCAATAGGCGAGAAAAGAGGCGCTTTGGATGGGGTTACGGAATTCTGTGTCTGGGACGGAGACCCCAGTAAGTACTCGAGACACCGACTGGGGATTTCATACTCAGAGACCTAGGTGGTAAAAATAATTTAAAACAAAATTAGTGATCTTGAAATTAACTTATTTTATATTTATCAAGGCCCTCCTAGATAGGTTTAAACAGCATCATTACATTTAAAATAAGATCTTGAATCACCTTAACTCGTTTATAGTTATGCAAGTAATAGTAATATTGCCCACAATCAGATTACTATAGAGCCTCAAGATGTCCTCCCCACAAAGGATAACTTCATTTATTATGGGCTGCCCTCTCTACTAAGCACGGGATTAGTCAAAACCTCGAATAGGATTGGAAACCAGGTCATATGCATCAGGCGGCAACATTAACAAATTATAATGGGGCTCGAGTTACTAAGGTGAAACTGTACAAAGGAAGACAAGGAGAGATTCAAAAAGGCCCATAATAAATTTAAGTCACTGGATTTTTCATTACGAAAGAGTTCCTAAGTTGACCCCTTCAAAACGAAGGATTGCCTTGAAGATAGTATTGTTAATTTTGACAAATAATTGATCGCTACACTGCCCTGCAACCCGGGTAAATCTGAGCTAAGTTTCCATCTTCACCAAAGTGACAGATATCACCGGTGCCAGGAGCAAATTTTGCCCTAGCAACGTCCTATTCATTTAGCGTCTTCCCAGTGGCAACACAAATCTGAAAAGCCTTTGGTTGCCCAGCCCCAGCTCCATTGTCTCTTAATACTCCTACTCATTCATTCCATCATGAATACGCATTCAACCAAGTAGCTTTGTACATTTTTCCATCTTCTATTGTGATTTAAACAAAACATCATAAAAGTGGGTTGACCTCGGTGTCTTCCCATCTGACTTTTTTAAACTGTTGTAAACGTTATGGTATCACTTCTAAGTCCTGGGACCTTAAAGGACCCTACCACTCGGATAAGGTGAATGAGTATCTGCACCAGGCTTATATTTAGAAACTAAGTGAGAACTATGATATAGAACGGAATAAGTTGTTTAAGTTTAAAGATATTAAGCCAAAGCTCCGGCGTGATTTGGCCAGGATCCTGACTCCGGAAGATTTTCAAAAATTCCACAGCATGATCGATAGGAAATCAAGTAGGATTTCTGACTTAATAACAAAACGGCATGATGATAAATTGCGTAGGTTTGGGATTATAAGACAGCCTAAGTTAAAGCCAGTACGCCTAGTTGAAGTGGCTTCCGAGACGACAACACCTATAGATCAGCACGAGAATCGGAAGAAAGTACTAAGCTTATCATCAATTCCTCTCAATCCCGAAACAACCACGATCCTGAAAAAAGGACTCAATTTTTTAATTCAACATAACAAAGCCTAGTAGAAGACATCGTGGTGGAGATTATCAATATCGCCGACAAGTTCCCTGAGGAGAAAAAACGGGAAATGGAGATGGAACCCATTCCAAAGATCTTGACACATCAGGAGCCTATACATAGGAACAAATTTGCCGTGATACGCAAAACCCTGGAAACGAATGAACAATTAGCCCTTCAGGCGGACAAAGGAGGAGCTACAGTGATAATGGACAAAAATAATATACTGAGTAGATGAAAGAAAATTCTACTAGACAGAACCACATACCGTATACTAAACAGGGACCCAACTATAAAGATCAATGGAATCTTAAGTGTAATGCTGAAAGATATGTATAGGAATGGGGAAATTGACACATGAACAAGAAATTCATATATAAGAAAGGAGGCACGACCGCCAACAACATAAGGATTACCAAAGATATACAGAGGCGAACCACTAAGGCTGATAGTCAACAACAAGTATGGAGCAACACACAAATTGCCAAAGTTTATTTGTTCGAAACTCAAGTAACTAAATGAGAGGCTATCAAACACGATGAAACATTCATATGAATTTTCTCAAAAAATAAAAAACGTGGCACTGGAAGATACGGACTTATTAGTAAGTTTGAATGTGGAATCTATGTATACAAATATCTCCGGAGAAAATGCGCTAACGGCCCAGCTGGAAATCCTTGACCGAGAGGAGGATATCCTATAATCACAACGAATCACGAGGGGGTCGTTAACAAGAATAATCATGTTGACAATAGGGACAAACTATTTTACATTCAACGGTGAAATCTATGAAAAAATATTTAGACTTCACATTGGATCGCCGCTCTCACCACTTTTGGCAAACCTATACATGAACAAAATAGAAGAGAAGTTCAAGATGGCACCACTACAACCGGCAGTACTCATGCGGTACCAGGATTATTATTTCGCACTTTGGTCACATGGAAGAGAAAAACTGGAAGAGTTTCTAAAGTTTGTAAACCAGATTGATGAAAAAATTAAATTCGCGATGAAGTAGAGGAAGGTGAGCGGTTACCGTTCCTGGATGTTGAAGTGATTCGCTTTAATGGGACACTCAAAAAGAAGTCCTATGCTTGGATAATACTCAATTTCCTGTCCCATTACGATTACAGGTTAAAGATAGAAATATTGAGGAGCATGATCATCCAAAGCCTACGCCTAACAGATTTAGAATCCTGGTACGAGGAGTTAGACAAATTGCCTATGATATTCCTCAGCAACGGCTACCCAAGCGAAGTGATACAAAGAAACATACGGGCCGTAAAAAGCCGACGGAAGAATGGGGACTATCAAAAAACAGTAAGGACGATGAAGGATTCACAAAAGTGGATTTGCCTACCTTCCTGCGAACTAACTCAAAAACTATGGCCAATATTGAATATATGGAATATTTAAGTGGCCATGAAAGAGAAATCAACACTTTTTACAAGTCTACCGACGCAACATGAAAGGGTAGATAAATTGGATTGTTCAGGCGTTTACCTTATATCATGCGGCGCCTGAGAACAGAAATATATTGGCGAAACAGGGAGAAAAATTAGCACACAAATCAAGGAATATCAAAGGCTCTGC